GACATTTATTACAAAAATACCTAAGAGGTGAAATGTGAAATACAAAATTTCTTCTTCGTTTTTTTTGCTTTTGTTATTATTTACACATGCATACAAACTTACAAAATACTACAGCCTACAACTAACTACACACACACATACTTATGCCCTAAACAGAGATACAAAGATTTCATTGAAAATATTCATGGATTCTTCGATAAATTGGCTACTTCTAAGTTGTTACTTTTGTTGTTGTTTTTACGTTACGTAACGATTACTTGACTATATTTAAAAAATAATTGGAGTCGATTTCCGGTGCTTGTTTGGTTTTTTTTCGTTTTTGTTCAATAAGTTTTCAATATTTCCTAGAAAATAAATTGTGTTGTTGTTTTTTGTATGCACAATGCTTAAGAGTTCTGTAGAAGAAATTGTATGTTCAGCAAGTGGCCGAGTGGGTGAGTGAGAGAGAGAGAGAGAGTGGAGAGAGGGATTGGTGGGTGGGTAGTTGTGTAAAATTTGTTTTTGTGGCAATGGCAATGGTTGTCAAGCAGTTGTTGTAAGTTTGTTATGTAAAGGTTTTGATTTGTTACTTGTTGTTGTTGGCAGGCATTCATTAACAATTTTGTTTCTGTTTTTGTTGTTTTGTTTTGTTTTTTTTTTAGAAAGTTGAGGCAAAAAGCTTACAAACTACTTATGCACTAGTGGGGATTTTAAAAACTACTGTTCATAAAAAAGCCTGGGACGTATTTAAGCATTACCGGAGCAACAAGGCTCCAGTAATTTACACTTCTTAAAAAAGACATTACTTTATGTGTACTAAGTACATGTATGTATATATATAGATTGTTTTTTTATTTTTTGTATATTAAATATTTTTTTTTTTTTTTTTGTTATTTGGTTTTTGTAAGCTACCGGTTTAAATCATACTCCAATCATATGGACGAATTTTGATATAGTTTCTTAACTGCTTAAAAAAACTTTTCCCTTTTTTGATTTTGGTTGGATTTTGATTCAGTTACAGTGACAGCTCTTCAGTCCAACCGTCAGTCGGTCGGTCGGTCGATCAGTCGAGTTACTTCTGTATCTTCAGTATTTTCATTGATTTTTCACACAGAGAGGACGCCGGAGTGAAGAGAGTTCCCATTGCGGTGCTGTTTTGTTTCTTCGAGAGGAAAAGAATCTTTTGGCATTTGTTTGTTAAAAAGGTTTATTTTCTTAGATTTTTCTTCATTTTCTTGCTTTTTGTTTTTCTCAAGTTTCGTAAATACACACAAAATATAGGAAATCAACACTTAGAGTTAGTAGAGTTGTAGATGAACATATAAAAATACTTTCGAAAGGCTAAAGATTAAATAAAAAAAATATTTTCCAAAAGTGTTGCCACATGCTAAGCTATTTTACACCGAATAAAAAACACTTATTTGTAATTGTAAGTAGTAATAGTAGTAGTAGCAGCTAGTAGTGGTTCTTATCTAGATTAGCAGCTGTTCAGCCAAAGTCTATTGTTTCTGAGTGGATGTGGATGTGTGGTGAGAGGTGTTTGAAATCAAACGTGGTGTGCTGTTCAAAATTAAGGAATAATGCGAATTTTCATGAATTTAACGAAAGCTAATGGCGATTATGAATAATGCTACTTCAAAGCTGTAATGCCAGTTCAAAATGAACAATATAAGAATCCTGCATAGAAAGTTTTAAACCCATATTTTGACATAAAATAAATGTTTGAAGCTCCTTTTTTTCCAGGTTCCAGCATTCGAAACAGTAACCCTTTAAGGACACATGTAAATCTCGTTGAAATATCAATTATTTCAGGTCGAAAAACAAATCTGGTGGGAATGTCCAGCATATTACATAGCTACCAATTTGTGTTCTGTCATTAGTAAGTTAAATTTCAAAAATACCGTTACTGGAAATATTAATACATTTTATTAATGCTAACGAAATTTTCCTTATAAATTATTCAGTTTTTTCTCAAGCGTGGCAAAAGTCTTTTCATTAATTTTAAATTTTTTGCAAAAGTAGCTCTTCTGTTTTTTTGCAAGTCAACACAAGTCGGCAAATGTGTCTGTCTGGCCATAACAAAAAAAAAACGCAGAATTCTACCTTTTTCCACCCAATTTTTCCACCCATTTGCAAGTAAAAAAGGTCCTGGCTGATAAACAGACGCCCAGACATATAACAAGACATGTGCCTCTTTGTATATGTATGGACTTGTGTAAGCGGGTGATTGTTATAAAAGTCTGGTAGCCCCTACAATACAAAGAACAGAGAGAGAGAGAGAGGGAGAGAAAGAGAATGAGAAAAAAAAACGCATGTTAAGCATGACTTATTTTGACACAATTTCACGCAATGCTTGACATTCGCCGTAGAGGTTTATATGCGAATGCCATCAGCTGGCAAGGACCAAAGGAAAACAAAATAAGAATACCAAACGAGCGTACGTCAGATGAAAGGACTAAATACGGAATAAACACGAAATGCTTATTATGGCGTTTCAAGCGAACAACGACGACAATGAGACCGGCAAGGACAACAGCAGCCGCCCCAGCAGCCGCAGCAGTGGCAACAACGACAAATAATATTTAAATAAACATTAACGTATTTTTTAATGCTCACATGCGATTTATTTAATATGTCTACAATGCACACACACACACACGCTCATATGGAGAAGTTTACAAATAATCCTTTCGGTTGTTGTTACATTGCGACTACGCTGAACAGGCAATGGGGAATTGAGGAATATTCCCACTGCCCTTCCAGCGTATTTGCAATGTAACAGCAACCGAAAGGATATTTTTTAAACTTCTGGGTATTTTTTTTTTTTCATTTATTAAGATGGGCTCGGAATATTCTTCTATTTCTCAAACATCATGTGAATTCCCCTTAGATTTTTTAAAACCCTGAAATCTGTCTGACTTTGGGCTCCTGTGAATTGATAAATTTTTCAACAATTCGCAACCCTAAAATATATCTGGATCGAGGATTCCAAATCTTTAATTATGAAAGATATATCCAATTGTCATTATTAAATGTTAAAGGAATGCCAGCTAACATTTTATCCCAAATTCAAAATCTCTGCTGAAATTTCCCAATTTCTGATTCTGAATTCCTTCCGATTTCGGTACAAAAGTTGTATGGACGTGGTCACTGAAATCGAAAAGTTTTCCAAAATCGGTCCAATTTCCACAAGAAATTTAGAGAAAACGGCAATAAAATCTCGAAAAAAATTGGTGTAGGTATCTAAATCCCTCTAACTCCATTGTACAGTTTCCAATATTTCCTTAAAATTTAAGCAGACTTTCACATAGCTTCAGAGTTACAAATTTTCCATCCGGAACAGCTTTAATTTTATTTCTTTGCTTTACCCACATCCGACACCAACTGTAACTCGCCTCACGCTTACCAAAAGAAAAATGCACACAATCACACGCTTAAGCGAGCATAAGTTTATTAAGCTTAAAGCTGCAATTTGTTGCAATTTCTTTAGAATGTATTTTCGTTGTTGATCTTCGGGGTGGGAATTATTCTTGTGTCGTGGCCCAAACCAACAACAACGACAAAAAACAACTCTAAACCCTTTAAAGGATTGCATTTGCTTTTATATGGAGTGCCGTTGTGTGTGCAATTGAAATATTTGAAGACAATTTAAGTTCCAAGGATATTTTTATCCATTCAACCACAAATCGAAGAAATGTATTTTCTAACTACCAAATGAATTTGAAACAGTGTTGCCATTTTTCATTTTTTTTTTTTTAATAAAAATTTTTAAAAATAAAAAAATGTTTTGTTCCTGTACTTTTTACAAACCTAATTTTCTTCGAGTATGTCCTTGCAGAGAACTGTACACACAGGCCAACGTTTTGGTGTAAACCCCATATAACTGTACCTCCAGTTATTCGGAATTTTGATAATTTGAGTCACACTTTTCAGAAAAATCTTTTTAAATTCGGTATTTAGAGGTCACACAGATCTACGTCTTCATACAGCCCCATAGCAACATTGTCCCAGATTTTTTTTTTTCGAAATTGGTATTTGGCGTTGATAGTAGCCACTAACTTCTCTCACACAAAATATCCACATTTTCGAATATCCCCCATATATCTGTACCTATGTCCCATTTTATTTTTTTAATTTTTTTATTTGAATTTCGTATTGGGTACTATTTTTAAGGACTGAACAATTACCTATAGAGACCCCCATTCCAGTAGATCCTCCATATAATGGTATCTTCCGATATTTGGTATTTTAGTCACATTTCTCAACGGAATTAACAAAATTTGTATTTCCCGTTCCCAATTGGCACCAGCTTCTTGGGCAGATAATTGGCTATATAGATGCACATTGTCTTATTGCCTCCATTTTTATTTCTTTATTTCTTGAAAAAGTAGGAGAAGCCCTATTAAAATAAGTTCTCTCCATAAGAAGAACTTCACAATTCACAGAATTGCTCTGAATTTCGAATGCTGACTCTGCAGTTTTTGAGAAATCTTTTTAGAATATGAACGGCAAAAATGGCAGCTCCGGCTCGGAAGTGTGAAAAATGAAAGATTAAATTATTCAACCAAACCGAAAGTAAGAAAGAAACAAAAAATAAGCAATGAAATAAATTCAATAAAGAAAAAGTCAAGCAGGCAACTGCATATTTGTGGCTTAGCTAAAGGAGGAAAATGCTCTGATGTAGTTTTCTGACATTTCCGAAAAGTCTGTGAAATTAATTTAAAGAAATATTGGAAAGGCAAAAAATTGCTGTATCAAATTTTCAAATGCAAAGTGAGACACCAAAATATAAATTCACTCATACATATGTATCAAGAAGCTTAAAGACATGCAAGTGAGGATGACAATGATGAGGGTAATGACAATGTATGAGTATGATTGGTTGAATAGATGTGTGTATGGGCCAGGGACGTAGTCAGAGACGTGAGTCTCCCAAATGGCTTCTTTTCTGTAATTTTTGAGAACCTAACTTGGAAAACTTAAGTTTTTACTAATTGAGCCCCCACAAAATGCATTTCCGTGTACGTCCCTGGTATTTGCGGGTGTGTGTGTGTGTTTGTGTGATAGTCCATAAGTTGCAAGTTTATGCTCGAATGCTATCGGCTTTCGTTTTGAAGCAATTTAGCACTTAGTCTAGCTAACGATTCATCATCACTGGTAATTGTTTTATGCTCTTAATATCCACATTTGTTTTTGTTGTTGTTGTTGTTACTGCTGCTTCTTATTCAATATTTTAATAAACTAAGCATTTTGTATATCAATTTAGCTATCAAATGCCTAAATGGACTTTGTTGCCGTGGACATTTTGTTTTAGTTTCTAGTCTTATCAACTATTTTCGGGAGATGGCCTTAAAGAGTAGTTTTGTTTTGTTTTTTTGGTTTCTTTTTTGATTTATTTTTCTCATTTTCTTTTCGGTTTTGTTTTTGCACACAAAATAGACATCGTTCTTAGAATTATGCTAGGGTAGCTGTTTTTTTTTCTTGTTTTTGTTCTCTTTGTTATGCGTTTTAGTTAAATTTACATCGTCATTGTGTTTTTGGTTTTTGTTGTTGCTGTTGTTGTTTTTGTTTTTGTTGTAAAAGCAATAAATATGCAAAATAGAAAAATCCTATTTAAATACTATAATTACGTTGGCTTTACTGATGTATCACGACGTTTGCTACCACCACCCCCACTGCCGCAGCCGCCGCCACCGCTGCCACCACCACCACTCGTACAGAACACGCGACTGGCTTTGCTGGCTGGCGTTTGGGTGTGTATTAAGGACGGCCATTGACGTTTAATAACGGCAAAATGTGTCATTTGGAATGTGTTCGTCTGCTGACATCTTCGTTCAACGAATCCCGTCAGACAGTAACCCATGTTGTAGTCCTCCATGGAGATGTTTGAACTTAAATACAATTTGAATTCGTCGTTATCCTTTGGTGCGGCTGCGGCTGCAGCGGCGGATGGCGACCTCCCCGACGACGACGTTGATGATGTGGTTGAGAATGTTGACACAGCACCCGAATTCGAGAATGCTGATGACGACGACGACGAGTCTTTGCTCCGGAAATGACCAACTATCAGCAGAGAACCTTTCTGCTCGAGCTGAACCATTTTGGCTTTGGTGACACGTCGCTGGGTGCCGGCAAACTCCTCAATGCGACACCGATTCGGCTGCCACCAACAAGGGGTTATCGTCCAATATGATGATGAGGCGGTGCGAGCCCATCCCTCTTCGGGATAGAGTAGAATCTGCAAAAGGCCAAAAGAAAAGAAGAAAGCAAACATTAGAGGCGAATGGAAATGGTGGAGAAGCTATCAAGGATACAGGTGATTGGCGTTGAATTCAATTTGACCTTTTGCCCTTATTTTGTTGTTTTTTTTGTTTACACCCTCCATATAATTTGGAAGGTATATTAAATTCGTCATTCCGTTTGTAACTCATCGAAATAATAATTTTAGACATAACAAAGTATATATATTCTTGAACAAACTATATATATTCTGTCAGTCCATCTGTTGTAATCACGCTAGAAACGAATAAAGATAGGAAGCTAAAAAGTTGCACAGATCATTCGCCGGAATTGATTCAAATTTCATATTTGAAGATCTTAATGGGTGCTACAGTCTATGACAAAAATTGCGTCTGCAAGCCCACGTCTTCATATAGCCTCCATATATCAGTACCTCCTTATATTCTGTGTTTTGACGATATTGAAGTTCCTAATAGGTACTACAGCCTGTGACAGAAAATTGTCTATGCAGGTCCAGGTCGTATAGATCATATACCATATGCGGTATTTTTAGGATTTTAACAGAATTTCTAACGGATTTTATTTATTTATTTATTTTTTTTTTTCAACATTCAATTTTGTTCCAAATGGTGGAAGGTTCGGCCCGGCCGAACTTACTGCTTTTTTACTTGTTTTTATGAAAACATATTTTGAGATATTTTAGAGAGGTGCGGGTCGGAAACAAATGTCAATTGTTTGTCGTTATAGGCAATTAAAAAAATTGAAATTGAAATAGGAGACAAAGTAAAAATTAGAAAAACAAAACATTTGAATATTTTTCTACTTCCATAACCTCCATGACGGGAGAAATGATTTAAATCTTAACTTTTTCTTTACATCTTCTTTGACCCACAAATTTAGTCTCCCAGTGTTTTTTTAAATATTTAAAATTTCATATAATTTTTGAACAGTTCTTTTATTATTGAAAGCTTTTTTTGTAATTTCTGCCTTCTTTGTGCATTCAAGAATAGTTTATGAATATTTAAATGAATCCAAAACAAGTAAAAAAGTATCGGTCGGTTTTGCCGACAGATGTATACCCTCAGCCCTCTTCACCCTCTATGGAGTGGGTTTTTAAAGAATGGGTCAATATTGTCAATTTCGTATCGGACCTACATAAATATGATATAAATATTATTATAGCAAATGGATATAGCAATTGTAAGGAATCACTGAGTTGTTTCGCAATTTATGACAGATAAAAATATTGAAAAATGTGTCTCTTTGTGGGTGAGGTACCACAAGGTGTTCGCAGATATATAGGATCATCTTCAAAACAGATCTGGTGTTAGCAAAAATAATTTGTATGTGTGAAATTTGAAAAAAGTTGAATCCTTATTTCACTTTCTTTGAGCGTTATGTTTTTCAAAATTAGATTATTGCTTCCTTTCTGTGCAGAAAATATATATCTCAAATTTTCGACCATTTGTGGGGGAGGTACCATAAGATGTGGACCGATATACTTCATCTTAACACCAGAGCTTGGGTTAATATAAATATTGGGATGTGCGCCATTCGAAGACAATCGGATTCATACATCACATTTTATGAGAGTTGTAATTATTCAAAATTTTGACCATTTGTGGGGGACGTACTTGAAGGAGTGAACCGATATTGTCCATTTTTACACCTAACGTAGAACTGATGCAAATATTAGGATTTGCAAAGTGAGAGCAAAATCGGATTATCCTTTCTCTTTTTGTGCAAAAAATATATTTTTTGCAAATTTCGACCTTTTGTGGGGGAGGTACCAGAAGGAGTGGACCGATATATTCCATCTTAACATCAGATCTTGGGTTAATATAAATATTGGGATGTGTGAAATGTCAAAACAATCAGACTCTTACATCACATTTTATGAGAATTGTGATTATTTAAAGTTTTGACCCTTTGTGGGGGAGGTACCAGAAGGAGTGGACCGATATTCTCCATTTTCGCACCAGACCTAGCAATGGTGCAAATATTAGGATTTGCAAAGTAGCAGAATAATCGAATATTTTTTTGCACAGATTTTTGAAAATTTCGACCTTTTGTGGGGGAGGTACCAGAAGGAGTGGACCGATATATTCCATCTTAACACCAGACCTTGGGTTAATGTAAATATTGGGATGTGTAAAATTTTAAGACAATCGGACACTTACATCACATTTTATGAGAGTTGTAATTATTCAAAATTTTTACCATTTGTGGGGGAGGTACTTGATGGAGTGGGCCGATATTTTCCATTTTCACACCCGACCTCACACTGACGCAAATATTAAGATTTGCAAAGTTGGAGCAAAATCGGACTATAATTTCTCTTTCTGTGCAAAAATTAAATTTTTTGAAAATTTCGAACTTTTGTGGGGGAGGTACCAGAAGGAGTGGACCGATATTGCCCATCTCCGAACTCGATCTAAGTTTGATAAAAATATTACGATGTACCAAGTTTGGACCAAATTGGATACTCCCTTCGAGAGTTATCGTGCGCACCAGCCAGCCAGACAGACAGACAGACAGACAGACGGACGGACGGACGGACGGACGGACATCGCTAGATCGACTCCAAATGTTCTGAAACGGATTTGGTCCAAAGAGACCTAGGGTCTAAAACCGTTATTTCGACTAGGCACGTTTTGGCCGTATCAAATGATATATACCCTCTGTAGCCATATGGCTGAGGGTATAATGATAATCATATTTTCGTTTTCCAGCTCCTCTTACTATTCTCCCCCTCGTTGCTCCTTTGCGGAAACTTATTTCCTTTTGTTGCCGATTCTTTGTACTTGAAAATTTCTTTAATTGCCATTTCAATAATTTTATGCGAACATTTGCAGTTTAATGGCAATTATTCTGTTCTTCTTTTTTTCTTTGCTTTTCGTCTGATTTTTGAAAGGATAAAGTTTGCTCTTCACTTTCATCATCTTCTTAAAATGTTGTTACATTCATTTGCTGACCAGCAATGCAAACATGTCGAAGTGCAAGACGGAGGGTGAAGAGCGACGCTGGGGGATTGAAGATTGGTTTGTAATCGATATCGAGATGATGGGATATGCATTCTTTCCGATTTCCACTCTTTGGCAAATTGCATTAAAAACTTTTCTTCTTTTTGTGGTAATGGAAATTTACTTCGTTAAATTGGAAATTGGAACAAATTTACTGCAAGGAATTGTGTTTGCGAGGGGGAGGAAATGGAAATATTTCAATACACCAATCTACAAAATTCTTTCTAAAACCAAATAATCGATTACATGCCAAACTCCTGTTATAAATTTCAAATGCCCTCCATTTGAATTCCCAGTGGCTTCTTAAAATTTTTAACAATTTATAACGGTGATTATAATTTCTTAAATTTTTGGATTTTTAATTGGTTTTTAAACATCCCGGCTGCCTGGCAATAATACCGAGCCCACACTCCGCTCGGTTTTCAAGTAGGCGACCATAATTGATGGTTATGACATTTCGAACCATACTTAATAAACCGCAAAAAGAAGTTATTTAAAAAAGCCGCCTTTGTGTGTATGTGTGTGTCTGTGTCCGTGTGTGTGTTTTTATGAGTGTTTTTGAAATTGTTGTAGCAACAGAAACAACAACAATAACAACGGCAGCGACCATAACAAAAGCTATCAAACGCACATAATAATGATAAAAATGCGTAATTATGGCAAAAACCCCAAAACCATTATTCATAACATTTCGATTTTGAGGTGGGTTTGAATTTATTTCCTCTTATGTAGAAAGGCGTTTGATTTTTTGGCGTGATGGAATTTAGGAAATTTTTTTATACCCGCCACCATACTATGGAGGGTATATTAACTTTGTCATTCCGTTTGTAACTCCTGAGAACGAATTGAGATAGAAGGCTAAAATTTTACACACATGTTTATTTTTCCAGTAGGCAGGTTAAGTTCGTAAATGGGCCATGCAGGTCCACGTTTTCATATAGCCCCCATATAACGGTACCCATCGATATTCCGTATTTTGATGATTTTAGCGTCATTATTCACCGGAATTGTTTCAAATTACGTATTTAGAGTTCGCAATGGGAACTACAGTCTATGCAGGCCTAGGTCTTCGTATAGGCCCCATATATCAGTACCTTCCTATATTCGGTATTTTGACGACAATACCCACCGAAATTATTTGAGATGTCGTATTTGAAGTCAGTAATGGATGCTACAGCCTGTGATTGTTTATACTGGACCAGGTCTTCGCACAGCTCCGATATAACGGTACCTCCCTATATACGATATTTTGATGATTTTAGTTACTTTATTCACCGTTTATTTCAAGTTTCGAATTTGAATATGGTAATGGCTCATGACAAACAATGTCTATGAAGGTCCACGTCTTATAGACCCCAATATAACGGCTATATTCGGTATTTTTAAAGCTTTAAAAGAATTTTTTTAAGGATTTTATTTTTTGAAAATTTCCAAATTCGTTCCAAATGGTGAAAGGTATTCAAAGTTCGGCCCGGCCGAACTTACTGCTTTTTAACTTGTTTTATTTATTTATTTTAATGGCATTGACAATCCTGCACCATCCTTTATGATCCCAAACTATTACCAGCATGCAATTAATAAGAAATGGTAAGTATCATTGTAAAATACTGATATCCGATATGAAATCTCTCTCTGGAGTATTCTTGCATGGTCCAGGAAAACACTGTGGACATCTTTATAAATTGAAATGCCTTTGAAAGTGGTTATCCTTGTACCAACAATTTCCCATCACCCCAAACAGTATCCCCCTGCTCAACAAAACCGCATCAATGATTCACTGTGGCGGCCTCAATGTGCCTCCGCCAGACATATAACAGCATTAATTTGTTGCACAACGCCATAAATTTCGTTTGAATTGCTATCGCATTACAAAGTGTCCTTTGGCAGGATAAAATAACATCAAATAAAATAAATAAAAATTAACATTCGACCGCAGAATGCCAAAAACAAAAAAAGGAAACACGCAATGCAAAAC